ATGAGCATTGGAATGCAACAATGCCAACTGAAATGGCTGTTTCAAGTTTTTATCAGCTAAATATTTGGCTGGTAGCGCGATACGAGCAACCAGCACTGCGGACTGGCAACGGGGAAAATGTTATTTTTGACAAACATGAAGTCTGTGTGTGTTTATTGTGTGTGTGTGTGTTTGTGTGTGAGATGAGTGAAGGAGGAATGAAAAAGGAGCATCCTCCCACACACAGCTGCCAAATCGAACAGCAGATCCGTCCTCGGCTGCTTGTTTGGCAGGAAAGATTTCAGGCGCAACTTTCTTAAGAAGCTGTGTTTACATGCAGTAACTATCTGTCACACACCGGCTCAGGTCTTCAGGTTTTATCAGGTTTTCTGTGGCATTGGGTTAATGGATAGATAGCACTTCCTGAGGCTGTTTGAGTAGCGATGAGTTGCTTTCATGTTCATGGAAAACTGATGGTGGTGCTAATGATGCTGCGTGTTAGCTGTAATAGTGTGAGAGCTGGATGTGGCCATGTTAGGAAGCCTGAGGTCTTTACTGTGAATCGATTTCAACATAGCCAGGTTATCTCGATGCTATCTGAATTCACTTACCATTCAATAGTCAAAGCTTTTATTGTCATGTGTGCACAGAAAAAAGTATTTCTCTGTACAATGAACAAATAGATAAAATACAAATAGCATGAATAAATAAATGGAGACCAAACAAATTGAATTTGAAAATAGATCAAAATAAGCAGTGACACGAAGCTAACAGTGTATCGGCAGCAGGATTTATTTTTTCTTTTGTAAAGGAAGATCAAATTGTATTATGGGAACAATATGAACAAGGTAAAGGTGTCAGAGAGACAGGAAAGCAACACAGCTGCTGCAGACAAAGCAGTGCTCTGAGTGTGTGAGGGGAAAAGCACTGTGCAGCTCTACAGCACTGCTTTTGGCTGTTTGACTGTCAAAGAGCCACTGTAGTAATCAGGGCTGGACTGGGACAGAAAATCGGCCCGGGCATTTTGACTAGAGACCGGCCCATCAGGTATTATAGGAAAAACCATACGGCCTTTGAATGAAAACGAACGCTGTTGTGACAGTGATGTACGCTGTCTTGTTGGTATATGTATGATTTCTATACGTTGTACATCAGATAAAAACTTTGGTTGTAAGATTTAGATAATTATTTAAAAAAAGCT